TAAAAAAATATTTTTTATTTTGGGACTGGAGAGATGGCTCATTGGTTAAGACCACTGGCTGCTCTTGCAGAGGACTCGGGTTTGATTCCTAGCACCCACATGGCAGCTAACAACCATCTGTAACTCCAGTTCTAGGTGAATCTGATGCCCTCTTCTGACCTCTGTGGGCATTGCATGACACAAGTGTACTTACATGCATGCAGGCAACACATTCATACACATAAACTAAAAATAGTAAATAAAATATTAAAAAAATACATATTTGAGTGTTGCCTGTATGTATATCACATGCATGTAATCCCCACAGTGGCCAGAAGAGGGCCTCGAATCCCCTGGAATTGGAGTTAACTGATGGTTGTTAACTGCCCTATGAGCTCTGGGAACCAAATCTCTCAAGAGCAGCCAGTGCTCTTAACTGCTGAGCCATCTCTCCAGTCCCAATTGGAGTTATCCTTGAGCCAGGTGTGGAGTGGAGAGGTGCTGACTCGCCACCTACTCTGTATAACTAGCTCTCACATTTGGGAACGAAGTGCAGGGTTTCTGATGTGGTCATCCCATGCAGCACATCACGGAAAATGGCTCTTTATTCACTATAATGTGTCTTAGAAACAGCTTTGATTCTACTGATCTGCTTCTAAACTTTGTAACATCTCATGGTCTCTATGTATGTATATTCTGTGCTGAATTGTTCCACAATGTCTTCTGAGTTTTCTCATTCCCTATGTTGGTCGTACAAACAATAATAAAGCCATTTTCTTTCTTTAAAAGAATGAGGCATTCGAAAAAATTATTAGCTTGTGCTGACCTTAAATTTCAGTTCAGAAGCATCATCCTCCTTATTGTTACCATTTTCTGAGAAGTCTGAAAATACTGGGCTCCTTGGCTCACAAGCATTCCCAGCAGTTGGGAGGCTGGGGAAAGAGGATTACAGGTTCAAGGCTAGCTGGGTAAGACCCTGTTCCTCCCCCCCCCCCAAAAAAAACGGGGCTAGAAAGATGGTTGTGGTTAAGACCACTGGTTGTTCTTGCATAGGTCTGGGGACCGGTTCCCAGCACCCACATAGTGGTCTCAAGCAGGCACTGCATGCATACGGTGAACTTGCATACAGCATGCAGAATACACATAAATAAAACACGACAAAATGTTTTTTAATAATTCAAAAAAAAAAAAAGAAACAACAGGTGTGAACTGAGGATCAGGAGGTCAAGGTCGTCAGGTTCCAGGGCAGCCTGGACTACATAAGACCTGTCTTTACTTAGAAAGGACTGTTGACCTGCTCTCCACTTCGTGGAAGCCCGAGCAGCTGCAGGCCTCTGAACTGGGGGGCTGGGTGGAGGAGTCCCCGCGGCTCGCTCTTCCTTCCCGCGGGCGGCGGGAAAGCCCGGAGTGCGGAGCCGGAGCGACCCTCGGCGGCGGGGCGGTCACGCTCAGTGGCCCGGCAGGTCCGGATTCCCGAGCCTGCGGC